ATATTGCAGTTCCGCTGCCATCTTCGCGCTTGAACCGTGTCTGCCAACGACCGACTCTAACGCGCCAGGGGCGCGCGCGAAAGGGCAGCAGGGGGCCGTTGCTGCGAGGTCCTCGCGGCGGCATCAAAAAAAACATGCTTCGCGCGACGTCCATCATGCAGTTCCGCTGCCATCTCCGGGCACAAACCACGCGTGCCCACGCGCGACCCTCGCGCGCCAGGGGCGCGCGCGACAGGGCGACAAGGGCCGTTGCTGCGAGGCCCCAGCGGTCTTGCAACAAAAAAAAAAAAAAAAGGTCTCGAACAGCATCCATCTTGCAGTTCCGCTTCCACTTTCGGGCACAAGCCGCGCCTGCCGACGCGCGAACCTCGCGCGCCAGGGGCGCGCGCGACAAGGCGGCAAGGGCCGTTGCTGCGAGGCCCCGGCAGTCTTGCAAAAACACACACGCCTCGAGCAACCTCCATCTTGCAGTTCCGCTTCCATCTTCGGGCACAAACCACGCCTGCCGACGCACGAACCTCACGCGCCAGGGGCGCGCGCGACACGAGGACCGTCGCTGCGAGGCCCCAGCGGTCTTGCAACAAAAAACACACATCTCGAGCAACATCCATCTTGCAGTTCCGCTTCCATCTTCGGGCACAAACCGCGCCTGCCGACGCGCGACAGGGCCGTCGTTGCGAGGCCCTGGCGGTGGCCCTGCAAAAAGCACGCGTATCGAGCGAGATCCATCCTGCAGTTCCGCTGCCATCTCCCGGCAAAAACCACGTCTGCCCACGCGCGACTCGCGCGCCAGGGGCGCGCGCGACAGGTCGGCAAGGGGCGTTGCTGCGAGGTTCCGGCGTCGCAGAACGCGCGTCTCGAGCGACGTCCATCCTGCAGTTTCGCTGCCATCTTCGGGCTCGGACCGCGCTCGCCGACGCGCGACGCTCGCTCGCCGGGCGCGCGCCCGAAAGGGCGACGAGGGCCGCTGCTGCGAGGCGCGGGCGGCGGCTGCAAAAGACGCATGCTTCGAGCGACGCCCACCTCGCAGTTCCACTGCCACTCTCTGCTTCAAGCCACGTCAGCCGACGCGCGACTCGCGCGCCAGGGGCGCGCGCGGAAGGGCGGCAGGGGCCGCTGCCGCGAGGCCCCGGCGGCGCCGGCGGGAAGAAGCAGTGCGGGCCGGAGAGGTCGCGCGAGATGTGCGCCGATGATCCCATTAGGCCCCGGGGCCCCGGCGCGCAACGTCGCAGGGGCCAGCCCGGGGATTTCCCGGTCGCTCAAGATGGCGACCCGAAAGTGTTCTTGGAGGAGGATGTGGGCGGGATCGCGATTCTCCGTTTCCTCCACCCTCGCTTTCAGTATCCTCAAGGGCTTCGCCCCCTGCCGCTTGGGCAACGCAAGAGCGAACTCATGAGGCCCTGGAGCCGCCGCGACGCGGCGTCGGGACTTCACGCGAAGACGATGCGGCAAGACATCTTGAGAGTATGCTGGCATTGTTGAAGTCGATGTTGTGTGTCGAGCTTGCTCGCGCATGCTGTGCAACAAGCTTCCCTAGGAAGTACTGGTACGTTGCAACTCCCATACGTTTTTTGACCCTGGCCCCTCCGATCTGTAAGAGGGGTGCCGCCGAATTTCCGAAATGTAGCAAATCCTTTCTGTTTTTGGACCCTGACCCCGCCGATCTGCGTGAGGGGTGCCACCGAGTTTCAGACATGTAGCAAATCTATCGCGTCTGTGGACTCTGACCCCGCCGATCTGCGTGAGGAGTGCCGCCGAATTTCCGAAATGTAGCAAATCCTTTTTGTTTTGGGACCCTGACCCCTTCCGATCTGCGTGAGGGATGCCGCCGAATTTCCGAAGTGTCGCAAATCCCTTTTGTTTTTGGACCCTGACCCCGCTGGCTTGCGTGAGGGATGCCACCGAATTTCAGAAATGTCGCAAATCCTTTCTGTTTTTGGACCCTGGCCCCGCCGATCTGCGTAAGGGGTGCCACCGAATTTCAGAAATGTAGCACATTCTTTTGTGTTTTGAAAGAGCGTGTTTTACAGCTGCTGGCGGAAAACCGGGGGGGGGGGTCACTGGGGGTTCCCAACCCGTTCCCCTCCCCTTCAAAAACCGGAGGGGGGGTCACTACCGGTTCGAACCCCTCCCCCCCCCTCTCCGGTCCATCATGAAAAGAGGGGGGGGGGGTCACTACCGGTTCGAACCCCCCCCCGCCCCCTCGAAAACCGGGGGGGCCACTGCCGGTTCGAGCCCCCCCCCTTCGAAAACCGGGGGGTCACTACCGGTTCGAACCCCTTTCCCCCTTTCCCCTCGCCGCCACCAGCAAACGATTCCCGCTCCTCGGGACAGTTGGACAATGGTGGGGATGCTGAGACAGTGGTGGGAACGGTGGTGGTGGGGACAGTGATGCGGGGGACAGTGGGACAGTGGTGCGGACAGTGGTGGGGACGGTTGTGGTGGGGACAGTGGTGAGGGGACAGCGGGACACTGGCGGGGACAGTGGGACAGTGGTGGGGACGGAAGTGGAAGGGACAGTGGTGAAGGCGGTGGTGAGGACAGAGGTGGGACAGTAGTACAGTGGGGGAAGTGGCGGGGACAGTGGGGACAGTGGGACAGTGATGGGGACAGTAGGGACGGTGGGACAGCACAGTGGGACAGCGGCGGGGACAGTGGGAAAGTGGTGGGTACAATGGGGACAGTGGGACAGTGGTGGGGGAAGTGGGGAGACATGGGACCGTGGTGGGACAATGGTGGGGAGAGTGGGGACAATGAGACATTGGTGGGGGCACTGGTGGGGACAGCGGGGACAATGGTGGGAACAGTGGGGACACTGGGACAGTGGTGGGGACGGTGGGTGGTGGGGACAGGGTGTGGGGACAGTGGGAATGTGGTGGAAACAGTGGGACAGTGGAGGGTACAGTGGTGGTTGGGACAGGGGTGAAAGCGGTGGCGAGGACGGCGGTGGTATGATGGGACAGGGGTAGAGTGGGGACAGTGTTGGGGACAGTGGGGACAGTGGTGGGAACAGTGGGACAGCTCAGTGGGACAGCGGCGGGGACAGTGGGACAGTGGGGACAGTGGGACAGTGGTTGGGGCCGTGGAGAAAGTGGGGAGATTGGATCCGTGGTGGGAACAGTGGTGGGGACAGTGGGGACTGCGACAGTGGTGGGGGCACTGGTGGGGACGGTGGATGGTGGTGGGAACAGCGGGGACAGCGGTGGTGAGGACAGTGGTGCTGGGGACAGCAGTGGGGGCTGTGGTCCGGACGGTGGTAGGGACCCAGGAGTCGTTTGCTGGCGGTGAGCGTGGGGCGGGAGGGGTTCGAACCGGCAGTGAGCCCCCGCCGGTTTTCGAGAGGCGGGGGGGGAGGGGTTCGAACCGGCAGTGACCCTCCCCAGTTTTCGAGGGGGGGGGGTTCGAACCGGTAGTGACCCCCCCCCGTTTTCGAGGGGGGGGGAGGGGGGTTCGAGCCGGTAGTGACCCCCCCCGGTTTTCGAGGGGAGGGGGTTCGAGCCGGTAGTGACCCCCCCCGGTTTTCCGGAGGGGGGAGGGGAGAGGCTCAAAAATCGGTAGTGACCCCCCTTTGCATGGTCTTCTGGGGAGGGAGTTCGAACCGGTAGTGGCCCCCCCCCGGTTTTCCAGAAGGGGGGGGGGTTCGAACCGGTAGTGACCCCTCCCGGTTTTCCGACGAGGGAGGGGGGGTTACGGGAGGGGGGGGGATTTGCCGGGGGGGAGGGGAGGGGGGGTCCAGCGGGGGGGGGGGGGGGATTTTCGGAGGAGGGGGGGACCCCCGGGCTTTGGAGGAAGATGGGAGGGAATTTTCCATAGTAAAGCGGCGGTGGATCACGCGCTCTGTGTTTTTGGACCCTGGCCCCACCGATCTGCGCGGGAGTGCCGCCGAATTTCCGAAATGTAGCAAATCCTTTTTGTTTTTGGACCCTGACCCCGCCGATCTGCGTGAGGGGTGCCGCCGAATTTCCGAAATGTAGCAAATCCTTTATGTTTTTGGACCCTGACCCCGCCGATCTGCGTGAGGGGTGCCACCGAATTTCAGAAATGTCGCAAATCCTGTCTGTTTTTGGACGCTGGCCCCGCCGATCTGCGTGAGGGGTGTCAACTTCGACCCCCCAGAAATTCTAAGAACCTTTTCAGGAGACGCTAATTAACCAGAGGGCACTTTTCGGCTCCCCCCCTCGCGCGGTCCATCAACAAGGAACAGCAAGCAGCACAAAGCAATATTGTAACAGTGGAAACTGGAGACTGGAACTGGCGCAGGGAACAGCAAACCCTCGGCCTACAGCCTGGTGGCCCCACAAGGGGGCCGGCGGATCATAATCGCCAAATGAGGTGAGGACCCGAGAATCGCGATTCCGCCCAATACTTCCTCAACAAAAACCTCCCCAGTCGCACGTCGGAGCAACCGTAGAATTTCTCTGGCACCCGAGAATGGCGATTTCGCGCAAAGATTTCCTCGGAAAAAGTTATCCGGTTCCACGTCTAGCCGCCGGAGAATGGCGATTTCGCTTGGGGCATTTTCGAAACCATGATTGTGGACCCGATGCATTCAAGCAGAAGTTGACGATTCCGCTTAAGACTTTCTCGCAGCCACATGTATCGCCAAATCTGATGTCGCCAGAAAACTCAGATGCCGCGCCGGACCTCCACTTTCTGTTCGCGCGTGCTCCAGCGCGCAGACACTGCGTTGATCTGTCTGCGCGCGAGCAAGCGCGGAGGTGAGTGAGTCTGACCATGCCGCTGGAAGATGAGTGGATCTGCGCGTGAGAGGGTCAGTGGGCGCGCCGAAGTCTTCTCTAACGGGGTCCACACTTTTCGTCCAGCAGGTGGTAGAAGAAGCATCGTCATCGTTCCCGTTCCTATCCCCCCCCCAAGGACTTGCAGGAGGAAAAGGGGGAAGGAGGCACAAGGACCTGGACGAGGAAGAAGAAGCAGGGAGGAAGGGGGGCGTAAGGAAATGGAGACGGAGGAGTTGTCACTGAGCCGCGCGCGGTCGGGAGATGGCTGCGGCGCCGGCCGCTGCCGCCCAAGACGCGGCCACTAACCAGGCGGGGGGGGGGCTTTCGGGTGCAATGTGGGGGCGGGAGACGGAGAAGAGGAGGGGATCGGGGCCCGAGGTTCGAGGAAGGGAGGAGGCGAACAAAAATGAGAACACGTATGGATCAATGTTCGAAGGGCGACGCGGATTTCTGGGATCTGCGTTGGGTCCCCCATGGCGAGTTCCGCGCGCCAAGGAAGGGGTCCCATTTCCGATCCCAGAGATCCACGCGGACCTTCGAAAGTTTATATTCATGCAACTGTTCTCCTTTGCAAGAATCGAGGCTCTGGGTTATGTGCGTGTCTCGTCCGGAGGGGGCCCCCTTGTGGCTTCCACTCGCCACGGCTCGATTTCTCAATTGAGCCCGCAGAGCGGGAACCACTTCAGGAAACTAGCCCGCATTTTTGGCAGTTCGGCATGTCGTGGGGCCGTCAAGGGGTCAAGGGGGGGCGCAGGGAGAAGAGGAGGAAAAATGAGGAGGACGAGGACGAGGAGAACGAGACGGTTTGGTGGTTCTTGGGGTTTCCTGGAGGCCTCTGGGGACCTATTGGGAGCTTTTGGGGGGCATTGGGGGGCGCTTTTGGGAGCTTCTTAGGTTTTCAATCGGCCGGACCAAGCTCCCGGGGGCAGGGTTTTTGGGAGGGGCCACATCTCACACGCCAGGGAGCCCCAAGGGATGTGCGAATCGTGGGAGCCCTCTTAGAGTGCCTCTTGAAACCCTTTTGGGCCACCTTGAGGCAATCCTGGGCCGTCCAGCGCCATGTTGAGGCAGCTTTGGGCCGTCTAGCGCCGTGTTGAGGCCATTTGGGGCCGTCTTGGGGCCACTGTGGAGCCATCTGGGGGCCTCCTTGGCAGCTTCCTGCGGGGGCCTGTTTAACGGCCCTCCAGGGCCAAAAGGGCCTCCAGGAGCCGTGCCGGTGGGGATGCGCGAGCCCCCTTGTCTCCCCCTCGTATCGGGGGAGCGTAAGACCCGGGTTTGCCGGGACTCGGGTTCGCCATCGTTTTTTGACGACCGCGACTCGGATTTTGACGAGGGGGAGTTTCGTGGGATGTCTGCAGCGGGAGGCCTCGTCAAAATGCAGGCTCGGCCTCGTCATTTTTTTGACGACCTCGTCGGGGATTTCCGAGTCCCCCGTACCCGGGTCTTACGTCTCCCCCTCGTACCACAGCCTACTGGCCAACCTCTGGTCGGCGACGAGCTCAGGGGGGAAGCGAGGGGGGGCGGGTCTTCTCTCAAGGCTCGGAAGGCCTCGGGCCTTCTGAGAAGTGTTCGAAGTCTTTCCCGAAAACGCAACAACAACAACAAAAAAAAACGTGGCAGAAGGCCGCCCCATCCCACTCTTTCCCTGGGCGCGCCGCCGATCTTGCCTTGACCTACTGGCCAACCTCTTGCCTCTCTCCTTCAGCCTCTCCCCCGCGTCTTGCATGGCCGAGGCGCCCCGGTGCTCGCAGGCTCGCAGGATGGGGGCCGCCCCTGTTGGGCCCGCGGGGCGGGAGCCCACGGGGCGCATCGAAGAGGAAATTGGCTTGGCGAAGGACCCAACCATACGCAGTTGTGAATAACGCAATTGTGAGTATTGCCTTCGGTGGTGGTCCACATGGGGCCACGAAACGTGCGAGGGGTGTGCCGACATGCGTGCGGCGGGCGCATGCGAGCGCAGCCACTAAGGCCTTCGGTGGTGGGGCCACGAAACGTGTGAGGGGTGTGCCGAATGGGCGCGGCGGGCGCAAGCGATTGTAGCCACTGAGCCTTTGGTGGAGCTCCTCATGGAGCCACGAAACGTGGGAGGGGTGTGCCGAAATGCGTGCGGCGGGCGCATGCGAGCGCAGCCATTGGGGCCTTCGGTGGAGCTCCCTATGGGGACACGAAGCGTATGATGGGTGCGCCGAAATGCGTGCGGCGGGCTCGTGCGAGCGACGTCATTGGGGGGCATGCGGGCGCAGCCACTGGGGGCTTCGTGGGAGCTCTCTATTGGGCCACGAAGCGAGTGAGTGGTGTGCCGAAATGGGTGTGGCGGGCGCATACGAGCGCAGCCACTGGGGCCTTCGGTGAAGCTTCCTATGGGAGCACGAAACGTGCGAGGGGTGTGCCGAAGTTGGTGCGGCGTGCTCATGCGAACGCAGCCACTGGGGCCGTCGGTGGGGGTCCCTTCAGGGGCCGCGAAACGTGTGAGGGGCGTGCCGAACTGATGAATTGGCGCGGAGGGCAGAGGCAAGGAGGGAGAGGAGGGAGGAGGGCGAGGCGGAAGGAACGAGGAGGGAGAGGAGGGAGGAGGGCGAGGAGGAGGGAGAGGAGAGCGAGGAGGGCGAGGAGGAAGGAACGAGAAGGGAGAGGAGAGCGAGGAGGAAGGAGAGGAGGGAGGAGGGCGAGGAGGGCGAGGTGGAGGAGGGCAAGGAGGGAGGGAGGAAGGAACGCGGGGCGCGGTGTCTTCAAAACAAGGACCCAACACCACAGGATGGATGGGAAACAGTCCAGAAACAAACGTGCTGGACGGTCCGCGCAGATCCAAGAAGTCCGCGCGGAACTCCAAACGGTTCTGTCTATGTGTTTTTGTTCCTCTAACGCTCCCTTAACGCAGATGTGGCATTTGGGCGCACGTCGGTGCCGTCGGGGGGAGACAACGGGGGCTCTCTGGGGCCTTCTCTTGGGCCGTGTGTTGGGCCCTTCTTGGGCTGTTTGAAGCTTCGCCGGAACCCTTACCTCCTCCTCCTCCTCTTCCTCCTCCTCCTCCTCCTCCTCCTCCTCCTCCTCCTCCTCCTCCTCCTCCTCCAGACGTGTTGGGGCTCTTTTGGGCGTATTTTGTGGCCGTCTTAGGCCCTCCTGGAGCCACCTGGGGGCCCCCATTAGGCCCTCTTCACCGGCTTGTGGGGCGTCTTGGATTGAGATTGGGCGCCGTCGGGGGAGTTCTGGGGTGTTCTTAGGCGCCTCTTGTGCCGTCTGCGACGCTCTGGAGACCGAGAGGGCGAATCTGTCGAATTCTTGCTAGAACTATGAGAACATATGCTCGTGCTGCTTGCCGGTTAGAGTGCTCTTAGGGGGCCGTCTTGCGTCGTCGGCGGGCCAAATTTGGGTTCGTGCAGACGCTCTTGGGCCGCTCTGCTGCCGTAGTGAGGCCCCAGGTGACGGCTTCGGTCTCGGGCTGTGCTTGCGCGGATGCGCGAGCCCCTGCTGGCCCGTACTCTCTCTCCCCCTTTGACAGTATGTTGTTGTTTCTCTCTCTCTCTATCTCTCTTTCTCTCTCTCTCTCTCTCTTTCTTTATTTCTCTCTCTCTCTCTCTCTCTTTCTTTCTCTCTCTCTATCTCTCTCTCTCGCTCTCTCTCCCTCGGCGGCGAGCGATGGGGGGAAGTGAGAAGGAGCAGGCCTTCTCAGGGGTTGTTGCGGTCTTTGGGGAAGGCTTAGAAAACTTCTCAGAGGGCCGGGGGACCTCCGAGCCTTCTGAGAAGGCCCGCCCCTTCTCATTTCCCCACCGGGCTCGCCGCCGACTTTCTCTCTCTCTCTCTCTCTCTCTCCCTACGCGGGAGCACCGGGAGCCACGGCGGCCACCCCCTCTCCGCAAGCGGGCCTGGCGGGAGGGCTCTTCGGGCACAGGCGCCAGCCTCGGGAGCGACCAACAGGGGGCGATGGCCAGGGGTGGCGGGGATCTCATGGCGGGGGCCATGAGACCCGCCAGGACGTCATCCCAGGCCTCCCAGATGGGGTCCCGAGTAGATGGGGTCGGAGGACCGCGCCGCATCGCCGATGCATCGCCGATGCGGCTCGATGCGGAGCCCGATGTGCTCCGCGTCGACGTCGCCGACGCATCGCCGATGTATCGGCGATGCGGCGCGGTCCTCCGACCCCACCTACTCCGACCGCATCTAGGAGGCCTCTCGAATCTCACGGCGGGGGACATGGAATCCCCCAGGGTGTCGTGGCCTCCTCCTCCCTTCTCGACACGCACGTGGCCCCTCCCCCCCTGGGCCGCGCACCGCGCGCCGGGCCAAAATGTGTCACCCCTCCTCGGGGTCCAGGAGGAGGCCCTCCTCCTGGACTTCTCTCCCCGAGAGCATGATGGTGAGGAGGGGAGGAGGGGAAGAAGGAAGAGGGTGAGGAGAGCGAAACGGCAGGGATGGGGATGAGGACCACAGAGAAGAAAGAGGAGGAGCAGGAAGAGGAACAAGAGAAGGAGAGAGACACATAGTCGCCTCAGTCAGTTTCCTCCTCGTAACCCTCCTCCATCCCTCGCTCCTCCCGGAGGAAGAGCAGAGAGGAGGGAGGATAGGGCGCCGAGGAGGAGGAGGGTCGAGGGAGGAGGCAGGGAGGAGGAGGGGTGGCCAAAGCCGGACCAGCATGCAGAGGAGGAGGAGGAGGAGGAGGAGGAGAAGGAGGACCCCCTTGCCCCTCCCCCCGCGCGCGCGCCTCAACAAGGGCGGGCTCGGGAGCGCCGCCGCGACCGGCACGGCCAGGCCGGCGCGAAGCTGGTGTCCTTCCTGTCGCGGGCGAAGACAGTGAACAAGCTGCAGGCGGGCGTCGTCGGGAGGAGGATCGGACCGAACGAAAGGGGGGGATACATCGGCAGTAGGGAAAGGAGGGGTTACGAAATCTGCTGCATGCAGCTGGTTTCGGCCCCGCCGCTGGGCCCATTCCTCGATACACGGGCGCCGGGAGGCGCCGGGAAAATCAGCTACGTGAGCTGATTCTCAAACCCCCCCTTTGCTATCCCCCCCTTTCGCCAGGCCCGAGAGGAGCAGGAGGAGAAGGAGAAGCATCGGGAAGGGAGGAGGAAAGAGGGAGGGGGGGGAGGTCTGTGAAGGGAGACGCACTGGGAAGAGGGGGGGGGATCATGAAAGGGGGAGGAGGAGAACGAGAGGAGAATAATGATAGGGGGAGGACGAGGGGGAGGGGGGGAGAGCGAGGAGGGTAGTGGAAGAGGAGGGAGCAGGAGAAAGGACAGGAAGGGGAGAGAGGAGAGCTGGGCCCAGGCCAGGGCTCGACCCCAGGCGAAGTGTTTCTGTCTTGTTCTGGTTTCGCTGCCCCCTCGTGGGGGAGGTCCGAGGAGGAGGGAGGGGGGAGGACTCAAGTGCCGCTGACTGGGTGACTCTCGCCCTCGATGGCCACTATTCTGCTCACGTCTCTGTTCTTTTCTTTTTTCTGCACCCGTCCGTGGCCTAATTCGTTCGCGATCCCGCCAAAGTCGGCGATGTGTTTCTGCACCATTTCAGCAGCAGGTTAGCCCTAACGTCGGAGCAACGGCAAAACGGGAGGACCCAGAAGGAGGATGAAGGACGATGAGGACGGTGATGCCGATGATGACGATGATGATGAAGGAGAAAGAGGACGAGGAGGAGGAGGAGGAGGACGACGCTTTCTTGCTCGACGACGGCTTCTCGTGAGGCGTGCTCGATACCGATCTGGCAGGCAAGTGCAGGAGACGCAGGCGGCCTGGTAGCAAACGTGAGCGCCAACACCACCGGATCGAACATCGATCGAAAAGGAAGACCCGTCCCCAAACCAGGGTCCCCAGTATGTCGGGCGGGGGGCGGATTCGGGTTTTCGAAGCAGCAGCAGCAGCAGTAGTATATGTGCCAAGGCTGGTGTCCGCGTGGGCGCCCTCGGTTCCCAAGTGCTCTCCGAATATGTTTCTTAAGTTGGGGGATCGACTTTCTGACCTGAGCACTGCGCAGGGCGAATTAGCCCTCTAGGTCCTCGCGCACAACTGCTGCTAGCCTGGCAGCCGAGGACTGCAGCTGCCTAGGTAAAACCTTACGGTCCTGATCTTGTCGCCCCAGGAACAGGTCATCAATGACCATGTGCAACTCCGTCCCCAGAGGGTTCCCGCGGCGCCAGGACCCCAAGGGGCCGAGACGATACCCTTGAAGCAGACACGCAGCCCATCCACATCCAGTCGCAGTCCGCCTGGTGGGGTGGGCAAACATTTGGACAAGGTCCCCGGTCGCTACCAGGCGTTGGCCGTTGTACTATGTTTAATCACCGTTGGAAAGATGCTGTGGAAGCCCATGTCATGGGCCTTGTGTACTTGAGTTTGGAGTGGCTGCTGTGCCCATAGTAATTGCTAAGGCCCCACAAGTCGACACCTGAGTGGATATTGTCGGCGCAAGCGACACCGCTCGCCACCTTGAGAGTCTGACGAAAAACAGCTCCTGTGATACTTCGGCCTGAGTCAAAGGCCGACGTCTGTGGTTCTGCTCCCACCTCCTGGCCCCATCATGCCTAACCTTACCCCAGGTGCGGTACATGCTTGGCATCATGATCATGCCTCTGAACTGGGGTCGGGGATCCTTGGCTTTCGTTTTTGTCTTGGGGATAACGACCGGAACAACTGCGTGCAACTGGGTCGGCATGCCGCTGATATTCTAGACCAGCCCCCAAACCTACACACGAGAGACGCTTGCGTCAGCGAGGGAAATTGAAAATGCTTGGGGTGAACGTCCCAAGTCGAGGCTGTGATGTGGAAGAACGCCCTGGCAGCGTCGAGAAGGCGTTGGGGCTCCAGCGGGGCCAGGGGAGTCTCTTGAGTACCAGGTTCCACTTTGTCTTTCGGCCTGGTCGCAGTTGTATCTCACAGGGTGCTGAGCCTCTCCGCGTTTTACTTGAGGATATCCGAGGGCCTCCGAGGGAGGAGGAGGAAGAGGAGGAGGAGGAGGAAAAGGAGGAGGAGGGAAGAGCAGGAGGAGGAAGGACGAGGACAGAGGAGGGGGGGGGCCCACCGGGGCGAGGCCGCGCTCCAGCAAATCCTGAACAGGAAACAGGAGCCCGCTGCGCTGGGCGCCGCGCTGGTGCCCGCCCCCCCGCTGCCCCCTCTGTGGGTGTCATGTCCATTTGAGCCTTTCCTCCTCTTGCCTCCCTCTCTGCATTCCCTTTTGCGCCGCCATATATATATATATATATATATATATATATATAGGTTCTCAAGGACCTCTAAGCTATCATGGCTCGCCGGTGACGGACGCGCTTCAGCATCCGTAGAAGGACAGAGAACGTGCTCTCATCCCCCTAATTGTACCTCGTGTTTCTTTGCATCCGAACAGCTGTTCCCGCACAATCCACAGTGGCAGCGGAGCCTGTGGTTGAGATCCATGAGGGAAGTCAGGACGACTCCCCTGTCATTCGACTATCGGGTGACACTCTGTATACTCCACTCCCATGTTGCCCGTTTCCCGCCCTCCTATACCAAACGCCGCCATGGATCCTCGAGACGACGCTCAGCCTCAACGGGATGAGTTTCTAGCAGATCCTTCGTTGCAACCATGACAGGATCCTCGGGCAGGAGGCGGGGGACGAGAAGACGTTCCTTGGGAAGGTGATGACGACGTGGGCTGGTCAGATCAGGACTGGGCCCGCTGGTTCTCTCAGCCCTGGACGGAGACACGGCCCAATGCGCATTTACCCTCATCCGATTGAAATGAGCGGAGCCGTGGTTCGCCAGTTGCACCGAATCGGCCTAACACGCCTCTGCGGACACAGGCTACGCCTTTTATTCCTTTGCTCCGACGTACTGGGGAGATTCAAATGCCAGATCTCTTGGTCGCCAGAGGGGGCAATTTCCTGAACAGTCCGAGGCACCAGAGATACCCAACGGCCTACCTCCCACCTGGAATGGATAAAGATCATTATGTTCGCTTGGAGCCTTGTATGTAGGAGCAGCAGATGCGGCTCGCCTCTACCTGCATTCTGAAAGCACAACGCGGATATCTTGTCTACCGCTACGCAAATGACGACCCCCATATCAACATCAACGAATTCATTGAGGATCAGTTGTCTTCGGAGGACAGCGGGCAGGTTGTGGCCAAACATATTAAGAAGGCTTCCGCCGAATACCAAGACCACAGGATGCCGAAGGCTTTCGAACACATTTTCGATTCAGACGACACCAAGCGCAAGCAAGACGAATTCCCGGTCAACTACATCGCGCGTAAGCACGTGCTTTTTCCGAGAACTCGAGAAGCACATGGCCCTGCCAGAGGATGTGGAATGGCACGCGCTCCTCAGAGATTCCAAGCTCAATGAAGCTGCTTTGGACACGTTTGAGCACTGGACGGGGGTCATGCGATTTTGATCTGGTGCGCGGGGGGCTACGGAAGTCTGAGCGACCGCCACTTTCTGGCAGAGGCGGCCGTCGCATCCACGGCACGAGTTTTTCCTCGCAGTCTGTCGGGCATCCAGGGGGCAGCGACGGATGCGAGGGCCGGGGGTCTGACCACGACGATTTCCCATGTATTATCACGGGACGGTCTTCGTTTACCTTGCCCGGGCTCGATGGGGGGCGAGATCCTGATTGCGGCTCTCGCGCACGTGGACGATGAAAACGCACTCTTCGTAGCTGGGGGCCAGCGCGAAGACGCGATTCAAGGGGAAGGCGATGCCTTCGCCATCTACGCTAACCACAGTCAGACACGAAAGCACATGCACGAACGGAAGCATGGGCGAGGCGGTTTCAAAGAGCCCCAAAAAAAAAGGAAAGTCCAGAGGCCTCCGAAAGGGAAAACGTCGATGGGGGACAAACTGGACATGTCCGACCGAAGCGGCGGACCAAAAGCAAGTTGATGAGTCGCTCGAAATGTGCCCGGCGCGGGAGGATGGGGCACTGGGCTCGAGACTGCGCGAACGAGCCAGACGAGCGAGGACGCGAGCGACAAGCAGGCTTCGGCGACCCCCAGGCAGCTGCCCCCGACGCAGCCGATGTGCGCGACGCTTGTCAACGGGAAACTACGATCCAGTCTGGAGTGAATTCCCTCGCCGTTCCACCAAACTTTGCAATTGCTGATACTGGAGACAGGGCCTTCACCGGACTCCAGGTTCATATGGGTTTCGGCTCGGCGATTACGCTGGAGCTCAGCGCGGAGTCCGCGGCATAGATCAGTTCGACAAAATGATCTAATCTTTCAGAGATGCCTGCGGTTTGAAGCTCACGCAGATATTCACTCCGCGCATGGGCGCCACGGGCGTTTGAGGATCTACCAAGTTTCTCCCCAGCTTGACCCCGCCTGTTGCCGCGGCAAAGGAATGTGGAACTCTCGCTGCGCACTCGATTGCTTGCGATGTGCGTCGGCTTTTTCTAGCGGAGATGCCCAGACAGAAAGGCGCGGCCCTTGACTTGCCAGGGGGCGCCATCGCCTGGGAGGCGCTCGTCGGCAGCCAGTCGAGAGCGCGCGAGGCAGGGGCAGGCAGCGCACATTCCGATCCACATTGTCCGACTATCCTGTTGAAGGTTGGCAGAGAATTAAGAAAATCCGAACAGTCCCCCCGATGACTCAGGAATGCGACCAGGTCGCTGAGCCCGACGACGCTGCGCGCTACGTGAATCCGCAGGCACCCTCGGCTCAAATCCGTCATTCTCGGCCAACTGCCTCCTCCCCCGACGTATCGCGCGATGCTGAACCGCGCGGGGCGCGCCCTCGCCTGGGAGGGGCCGCGGCCGGAACCTCCGGGCACCGGCAGGCCCAGTCGTCCCACGGCGACCCCAGGGAAGCGGACGTAGAGATGGAAGCGATTATGTTTGAAGTTGCTTTCCATTCTGGGCCGCGTGGCCGCGGGGCGCAGCGCGGAGGCCCGCGTCGGCGCGAACACCTACGAGAACCCGCTCGGGGGCGCCGGGGGCTTGGACCAGGAGGCGGCATCCTCCGCGCAACAGCCTCGCGACCCGCGACCTTTCTCCTGGGCCCTGAAGATCCCCAGCGGGAGTGACTCGCGACGGCGCGGGCACCGCGAACGCTGACCAGGCCGCGCGCACGCGCCCCGAAAGAGCCATGTGCCATCGGGGTAACAACCAGACCCTGTGGTGGACGCGCGAAGACTGCCAGATGCGCTGGACGAGGCCCCCGATCGACGGCGTCATCTGCACGGCCATGCCACGCGGCCAAGAACGAGCGACGTTCGGGAGGTACGCGGGCCACGCCGTCATGGAGTTCTACGAGATGGACTCGCAGCGCAGCGAGCGGCGCACGAGGACTTACGAGTCGGGCGGCCCAGCGTCGCATCAAGGGCTCACGCGGCCGAGCGCGAGATGCGCGATGACATCATGGACGGGGGCGGCTGCGAGACGGTCGCGGGGGAGACCGACATCTGATGGATTCGCGGGCAGACGACGCTTTCAATGGTCGCAGGGCACATGTCCGAGTGCATCACGAACCTCGCGACATTCTTTTCAACCCAACCGACTCCGTCGGCTTGCCTTCTGCATGCGATTGCACCAGCGAGCGGATGACGGAGGTTATTAATTCAGATGGCACAACCAGAACTCGAGCCAGATGCTGGGTCTGAACCGTCCTGCGATCGCATTCGGCTCAGAAATTGACTGGCCGCGCTAGCTTTTATGGCGGGGCTGCGACCAACATGATGTTCGCTGGCGCCCTGATGACAAGCATGCGTCCTCAGGATACCTGGCTCAGCCAGGTTGAGCAACTCGATCATTTCTCCGGATGCTACCCATGCAATCTGGCTGGCCCAGCACTTGGCACGCGCATGTCCGCGCTTCGAGGTGCCCCAGGTGGCCCGCTGCAGCGGGAAATGTCACGAGGCCCGGCCGAGGCGGCCGGGGCGCGCAAGGGTGAATGGCCGCTGATGTTGAGGCAGACCACCAACGGAGCTTACACTTCATCTTCGGAGCTCGTTGAGGACGGCATTGGAACGATTACTTATCAATAGGTCAAGCAGATCAAGCAGGCACTCTCAGTGAACAATAACATCCCCAGCCTTCCTTTGGAAGCAGTTCCTGAAGAAGATGGGGGAGATATTCCCGTTGATGTTCCCAGCGCCGAACCTGTTAGCGACGATGATGCATCTGCTGCCCAGCCAGGCTGGGCACCTACTGCCGACCAGCTGACCGACCGCAAGCTTGCCCACGACAGCTCTGGCTATCCTGGGAATCGAGATTTTGCTCGACTTCTGAGACGGGGCAGCGCTGAGCCTGAGGTAGCACGCTGCGTGTTGAACAATTTCATGTGCGAAGAGTGCGATGCGCACAGACGACCTCATGCTCGTCGTCTCGCTGCTGATCCTGAGTCCAACCGTTTTCACCATGTTAATGGTATTGACTTGGTTAAGGTCAATTGCCCACTCGATGATGCACCGCATTTGTGGATTAACGTCACACGCCGGGGCACCTCCATTCAGTTGGTTGGGCCTGCGGGGACAAGGGATTCAGCGGATGCAGCATGGCTGGCATGTGTGCGCACATGGGCACGAGCGTTTGGCATGCCAGATGTTGTCGTCGTGGATCCTGGGGCGGAGTTCCAGGAAAGGCTGGCCGATAACATGCAAAACATCGGCGCGCGCCCATCCCCCACTGACGCCCGCTCTCCACGGCGAAACGGTCGAACGGAACGCGCCGGAGAAGAATGGGAAGACAGTTCCGTTTATCCGTTCATAAGGTAGCTCTGGATACTCTAGCCGAGATGCATGCTATGAGGGAGTGGCTCTGTTCGGAACCGTTACTAGAACAGGAGTGGTTTCTCACCGACGCAACGAGTTTTCGGATTTATACCGCATCTCCCGGCGGCATTGTTCTCCGATGATCCCATGGATCCCGAGCATTTGTCGACCGATCCGGCACAGGATTTCCACCGGGCTGCAGAACTACGCCGAGCTGCCACGGAAGCTCGGACTGCCATGGATAGCCGAACTCGACCACACCGAGTCCTCCGTGCCAGACACCGCTTACCACCCGCCTCCGCGGAGGATCAGTTCGTTTTGGTCGAAGGCAAAGATGAGTTGGCTCAGGGAAGTGGTTTGGGCTGTTGGTGGGGCTCGGTTTAATCATGCGCGCGGGGCATTGGCGCATGTCTCACGAACAAATGCGCAGCGCCGCCCAAGACTAGAGTAGGGGCATCGAGATCGTCAGTCGCTATCTCCATGACCTCAAGATCGATATCGAGCGCACTCGTGGTGCTCGTCGTTATTTCGACGTCGCCAGAGAAGAACATCCAATACTCCCTGGAGAATAGGCTCTACACGAACCTGAAGCGGCAGAAGCAAGTGGAAATCCCAGACGACTCAGACATCGATGCCGATCAGGAACCACAGCCGCCAACGCCTGAATAACCAGAACTATTACCAACGACGGGAAGATCTGATGCCTGGACTGGCGCGCGCGGCACCCTGGAGTGACGCTCGACAATTTCGACTTCGTTTGGACACCGCCTCCTCTGCCGAACCGCAGAGCGAGCCAAGCTCGAGGCAGCCTCCTGTGGCAGAGACGCCGGGGGGGACCTCCAGCGCTGCTGTCCGAGGCCCAAGCGCGCCCTGGCCCGCGAATGCGTCGTCATACCTACCGCCGCCAGCATCGACTGCGATTGCAATTCCTGGTTTTCCATATGCGGATCCCGCAGACGAGCTGGTCACCCACTACGTGGACAGCAGTCACAGCGGGCAGGTAATAGTTGAAACGTTGGGAACGCACAAAACCCCCGACCTTGAGAGCATCGATATAGCCTGTCAATCAGAAGCAGCCGACCTCAATACCTCGAGGCACTAACCAGGATGACGACGTCGAGTTGTGGTCCGTCTTCATGCGCAGGAGCTCGCGGAGAGCAGAAGGATTGATGCTCAAGCATGACATGCCTGACGCACTACACATCAACCGCCGAGTAATCTGGATATTGGCGAATACTGTAGTTCACCACGCGCCAACGTGCTGGACGCAAACAGTGTTAACTTTGAACCCAAATCCAATGCTCGACAGCGAAGACGCTGGCAACACAGAGGGCAACCAGAAAGATGGGAAGACGACGTCCGAAAATCTATGCACAGCTCGGCCTCTAGAGCTGCGACGCCGGTGCCAAGCGGGGCCAGATCCGGGCAGCAACCACGCCGAGACGGCACGAGCAAAACAATACGCACACGACCTACGATGGTTACCCGCGGCAGCGAGCAATGAGTGGTGGCTTTAGTGATTCCCATGATTCCTTCCCTATTACATTTTTGTGGTCACGGCCTCCACGCCATGCCCTACTGGGCACGGGCGGATCCCTCGCGGAGCGTGCACGACTTCGGCGTTCGTCCGTTCGTTTGCTCCTGCTCTTGTCGCCCTTACTCCTGCTGCTACTGCTGCTCCTCTGGAGACATAGGGCGCTAGGTGTGCCCGAACGTACCTAGTTCGTCTCCCCATTTTGCCCTTCCCCGCCCTCTCGTCCTTGCTCCCTGGGGGTAAGGGAGACAGCGGGAGGGGGGACGGGGGCGGGGGGGGGAGGGAACGGGAGGGAGGAGGAGAGCGGAGGGGAGACGGAGTGATGAGGGAGGGCAGATGGAGGGAGGGGGGAGTGAGGGGGGGCGGGGGGAGCAGGAGGTGGGCCGGTGACAAACAAGATGCGAGATACAACGAATGGAGGGGAACACGCGATCCACGCGTTCCTTGCCCTTCCCTCTTCCCCCTCTCAAAAACATTGCGCTGACAAAAAACAATCATGTGAGCGACGCAGAAAAACAGCGGCATTTTCTCTAAGATTCGCGCGCAAGTTGCCCGCGTAAGCCGCGGCGTGGGGTCGCTGCGAAATTTCGCGTAAGGTTCGTTTCTTGTCGTCGCTCAGATGGTCGGTGTGCATCCTAATGGTCCTAACCTGGTTTGCGCGCTGCGCCCAGCCGTGGCCACGTGGGCGCCGCCGAAGGCCCACTAAAGGCCCAAGATGTTTGTCCTCCAGGTCACGGAGGGGTACCCTTGCGTTCGTCGTCGAGGTTCCCAGGAGCCATGGCGCCCCCACGCCGCGAGCAAGCTTTAGGGGCCAAGGGGCGCTGTCAGAACTCGTCCTTGAAGGCCTCGTCGGAGGAGCCTCCGCCCCCTACGTGTCCTCGGCCTCCGGCGCCTCCTCCTCGTCCTCCTCCGCCGTGTTTTCTTTTTTTTTTGACTGCCCCCCCAGGCCTCGACAGGGCGTCTTTCGGCATCCCATCTTGCCGCCACGTTTCCGTCCTCCTGCCCCGTCCTCCTCCGCCCTCCCTTCCTCGGGCGCCTCCTTCGGGCCGCCTCAGGGACCCCCCAGCGACCCGCTTTGAGCCTCCCAGCCGCGCTCTTCCTGCCTTGCTGGCCGTTGGGGGATGGAGGGGGAAAGGAGGGGACGGGAGGGAGAGGAGGGGAGGGGGAGAGGACCGGGGAGGGAAGAGAGGAAGGGGGGGACAGGAGGGGGAGGGAAGAGGAGAGAGGGGGAGAGGAGAGGAGAGAGGAGGGAGGCGAGGGGGAAAAGAGGGAGGGAGGAGGGAAGGGGAGGGAGAGAGGAGGGAGGGAGGCGGGGGAGAGGGGAGGGGGGAGGGGGGGAGGGGAGGGGAGGGGGGGGAGGAGGAGAGGGGGAGGAGGGGGAGGAAAGAGGAGGGGGGGAGGGGAGGCGGGAAAAAAGGGGAGGGAGGCGCCTCCCCCACCCGCCCACCCCGCGCAGAGGTGCACTGCGCTGGGCGGGGCAACGGCAGCTGCGTGAGCGCGCTGCTGGAGGCGGGCGCGCCCGTGGACGCGCGGGCGCCGGCGGCCGAGGCCGAGCGCCGCCGTGGATCTGCACGGTGTCCCGATCGTGATCCTCGTCGTTGTCGTCGCTATCGTCTACTCGGGGGGCCCAAACCCAGGGATTCAGCGTCTTTGTATATATAGATATGTAATAAAAAAAAAAAAAAAAAAAAAAAAAAAAAAAAAAAAAAAAAAAAAAAAAAAATGTCTCGCCGTTGTCGGCCTCTAGAGGCCAGGCCTTTCCCTGGGCCCCAGGACTTTTGAAACAGATGCAGAGTAAGAACCAGATTCCTGGGAGTGGGTTGAGACTTCTGGGGGCCCCGTATAGGAAAAACGAGACATCGGATCGCCGGGAGCGGTGTGGTGACCACACCGCGTGGTGAGTCGGTGGGGATTCGGAGCAGCCGCGCAGCTTTGGGGGTCTCCGGGGACGTCTCGGGCGACCTCCAAGGTGCCAAAACCGTGTGGTTACACATGTCGCGGTGTAGTCGGTGGCAGGCGGCGGTGCGTCGTCTGTGGCAGAGGGCAGTGCGGAAATGCTGTGTGCGAATGATAGGGCCACTGGCAAAAGAGGTGAAGCCAAGCACCCGCCGATCGTTGCCATGCCCTGATTGCCCATGCGCCTGCTGGACACCGAGCGTTTTCTTCTTAGTGTCATTCGTCTTAGTTCCATCAGCAGTGCTTGCATTTAGAGCTTCTTGCTCTTGAGAGAATTGGGACGTGTGGTCGGTTTGGCGGTTGATTACGCTGTCGCCGTCGCCGCCTCTGCCTAGAAGGGTTCTTACTCTCTGGGGTTAAAGGGGCAGGGCAGTGGAAAGCGCCCCGGGCGGTTCCCCCAGTATCCGCCCCGCGGTTCCCCCAGTTACGTCCCCTTAGCTTAGCGTCGCTTATATCATCTTAGCTTAGCCTAGCTTAACTTAGCTTAGCTTAGTTTAGTTTAGCTTAGCCTAGCCTAGCTTAGCTTAGCTTAGCCTAGCCTAGCTTAGCTTAGCTCAGCTTAGCGCAGCGCGGCGCAGCATTAGCATAGCAGAGCAGAGCATAGCATATCATAGCATAGCATAGCACAGCATAGCATAGCGCAACTGCAAAAGCAAAATCAAAAGCAAAGGCAAGGCAATGCACAGCAAAAGCAAAGTCAATGCGAAAGTGTAGATGTATATGTAGGTGTAGGTGTGGATGTGGATGTAGGTGTAGATGTAGATGTAGATGCAGATGTAGGTGTAGATGTAGGTGTAGCTGTAGATGTAGATGCGATTCTCGCTGTTGATGCTGATGTAGATGTAGATGCAGTAGCTGTCGGTGTAGATGTAGATGTTGCTTTCCTAGATGCTCCAACTCCTAGGTAGGGTCGCACTGGGATAATATTACGAATAAGCAGAATGATAATAATAAAGAATTCGAGTACTACAGTTTGAAATTCTAATAATATCACGAAGTAGAATGCGAATACAGCGAATGATAACATCTAGTAAGTAGCTGTAGGCGTAGTAGTAGTCGTAGTAGTAACAGCAGCAGCAGCAGCAGTAGTAGTAGTAGTAGTAGTAGTAGTAGTAGTAGTTCGTAGCCGTAGTGGTAGTAGTAGTAGTAGTAGTAGTAGTAGTAGTAGTAAACAGCAGTAGCAGTAGTAGCAGTAGTAGTAGAGTAGCAGTAGTAGTAGTAGTAGCAAGCAGTAGCAGTAGCAGTAGCAGTAGCAGTAGCAGTACAGTAGAAGTAGTATAGTAGTAGTAGTAGTAGTATAGAGAGTAGTAGTAGTAGTAGTAGTAGTAAGTAGTGGTAGTATTAGTAGTAGTAGTAGTAGTAGTAGTAGCCGTAGTAGCGTAGTAGCCGTAGTAGCCGTAGTAGTCGTAGTAGTCGTAGTAGTCGGTCTTAGTAGTAGTAGTAGTTAAGGTCGTCGTCGTGTCGTCGTCGTCGTCGTCGTCGTCGGTCGTCGTCGTCGTCGTCGTCGTCCCGTCAGTAGTTAGTAGTAGTAGTAGTAGTAGTTGTAGTAGTAGTAGTAGTAGTAGTAGTAGTAGTAGTAGTAGTAGTAGTAGTAGGAGTAGTAGTAGTATGTAGTAGTAGTAGTAGTAGTAGTAGTAGTGTGTGAGGAGGAGGAAGAGGAGGAGGAGGAGGAGTAGGAGGAGCAGTAGTAGTAGTAGTAGTAGTAGTAGTAGTAGTAGTAGTAGTAGTAGTAGTAAGAACACTGATACGCTTAATAGTAATAACGATGATGCGAGTACGAAGAAGACGAATACGAATACGAAGACGAAGAACAATAATAAGCATAAACCGAATAATATGAGGAGGAGGACGAGAAGGAGGACGAGAAGGAGGAGGGGGAGGGGGAGGATAATGAGAAACACCAGGAAGACGGGAAACGGAGGAGGAGGAGGAGGACATGGAGGAGGACGAGAAGGAGGAAAAGGAAAAGGCGTGGACAGGAGGAGAAGGATGAGGGGGAGGAGGGCAGGAGGAGGGGAGGAGGGCAGGGCGGAGCGAGGGGAGCAGGAGGAGGGACAGGAGGAGGCCGGTGGCCGACGGAGGAGGAGGAGGAAGGAGGAGGAGGAGGAGCAGCAGGATGGAGGGATACGCAGGAGGAGGGGAGCAGGTGGACGAGGAGGAGGTGGAGGGAGAGGAGGAGGAGGAGGAGGAGGAGGAGGAGGAGGACGAGGACGAGGAGGAGGAATAGGCGTGGACAGGAGGAGGAGGAGGAGGAGCAGGAGGAGGAGGCAGACGGGAGGGACAGAGCGCAGCCCCGCGGCCCCGCCGCCTCGCAGGGCGGGCACACTGCCCTGCAGCTGGCGGCCAGCCGCGGGCACGTGGCTGCCTGCAGGATGTTGGTTGAGGCGCCGCCGCCGCGCGCCCCGGCTGCCGCCGACCCCTCCTCCCTTTCTCTCACTCCTACCTCCCTCCTCCCCTCCTCCCCCCACTCCCGCCTCCCCACTCACCCCCCCCTCCCACCCCCTACCGCCTACCCCCCCTCCCCCCCCACCTTCCACTCCCGCCTCCCGCCTCCCGCCTCCCTCCTCCCGCCTCCCTCCTCCCTCCTCCCTCCTCCCTCCTCCCTCCTGAGGGGGAACGTGGACGGCGGCGGCGGCGGAGACGTCGACGACGGCGCTGACGCTCTGGAACCCTTTGCGGGGCCATCTTGGGAGCGCGCAGCTGCGCGCCCCGTCGCCCGCGTCCCGCTGCTCTCCCCCGCCGGGTGGGGACCGGGACTTAGTCAGAGCGTAGGCAGTACCGCTTCACTTGGGAAGCGTTGCGATTACGCAAATTACGCGGCGCCCGAGGGGGGGTGCCAATTACTCTTCGACAGCATGCCGGTCCAACGGCAATTTTCAACCAGAGCAAAGTGGCCTCTATTATTACGTAGTGTTCGTCCTCCTCCACTTCTCTGCAATCGTACAATCGTCCGATCAGTACGTCGGTCGCTTCGCCCCAAAAGTCGAAGAGATACGCGCGGGCCTCGGAAACTTGTGCTTATGATGTGTGTTCTTCCTTGATCGTGGCCCAGGACAGGCTACCTACCAGACCACCCCAACCCAACCCGAAGACCCGAATTTCGGGTTGGGTTAGGGAATGGCCTCCATATTTGTTTGTTCGATGTTTCCCGATCCCCCCCCACTGGAAATGGAGGGCAAATTGAAGCCTTCGGGTTGGGTTGGGGTGGTTTGGCGGGTGGTGACATCTGACGTCCTGGTTCTCTCCGATCCGGCAAACAGGGGTCCCTGGAAGTCCCGACCCGTTCTCCAGGGCCGGCGTTTCATCTCCCGAGCCGTTGTTTGACAGTCCGAGGGCCCGGCCAGGGCCCTTGGAGGCCCACAGCTGCCAAAAAATGTCCGTCGCGATTGTGGCTCATGGCGCAAGCGTGTCTGGGATTGCGGCCCGACTGCTTTCTCAGAGTGAGCGGGCCGAACGGTCATTCATTGTCCCTGGGTGCGTGGCAGACGTGGCGTTCTGTCTGGCGGATTCTGCTTGCTGTGTTGCTGTTGAGTTGTCGCCGTCCTCGCCCACGACCCACCCGCGACCCACCCCGCGACCCAGCCCGAGACCCAGAGCGCCTTCGTTTCCAATGCAGCCCGCCGCGCCGGCGGCCCGCGTGGTGCACCGCGTGAGGTTGCCGTGTCATCTCGCGCAAGACCCGTTTCTTTTCGTCGCTCAAATCGCGTTTCTCGGGCCGGGCGAAAGGGGGGGATTGGGAAAGGGGGGGTTACGAAATTTGATGCATGCAGCTGGTTTCGGCCTCACCGAGGGGCCCATTCCTCGATACATGGCCGCCTCCGGCGCCGGGAGGCGCCGGGAAAATCAGCTACGTGAGCTGATTCTCAAACCCCCCCTTTGCTATCCCCCCCTTTCGCCCGACCCGACTTTGGCGCCCGAACCTGGTCCTGGAGGGGGTCCGTCTGGAGGGTTGCGATCCTGGTTTGTAAAAGTATAGACTTCGCTGAAACATACGCGGCACAATATACGCGGCGCGAGTTCTGAGGTGCAGCTTTCGTTGCGCAACCCGTGATGTGAAATATGCGCGGTGCAAAATGTGTAGCGCAAGATTTGTGGCGCAATCTACGCACTGCAGTCTACGGCGCACAATTATTTTGAAAAACTTCGAGTTGACAGTTCCACTGCTCGCGCAATCATCCCACGCGCCCACCCGTGAGTTAGTTTGCAAAACCATGCGGCGGCGATTGCGAGGAGCGCTTGGCGTTGGTTGGTGCGTCGTTGCGGCGGCGCCATCGCGCGCACGCTCGCGCGCGAAGCGGCCAGCTAGTTTGGCGCGACCGACGCGGCCGCGGTGGCGCTGGCCACAGAGCACCTCCCAGCATGCACTTCCAGTTCGGGTCGGTGACGTGGGCGGGCGCGGCATCATGGCCACGTCGGCAAAGGAAGACACGATGATGACAGTAGCGATGATGATGACGATGACGACGGCAGGGCCCGCGACCTCGCCGAAGATGATCACGTCGACGACGATGACGACGTCTTCGCGTCGGCGACGAAGGCGAGGGAAGGAGTTCGACGCGCGCGGGGCAGACGCGCGCGCGACTGGCCCGGCATAAGTTGACACGGACCCCCTCACTTTGGAGCACGCGCGCAAGGGCGTTCGAATCATGTCGACATGCGGCGCGGGAGGCCCGCTTGTTCGCATTTAATGAATACATTGGCAACGAACGGTTTGGGGGGAATTCGCAAGAGCGCGCGCGCAGATTTTTTGAACACGAACTTTGCCATGCCAGATATGTATGTGTTCGGCGCCCTCGATGTTGACAGCCCTGCGCAACCTATGGTTGTCGCAGTTCGCCTTTTTTCGCCAGGGATGTTCGCGACATCACGCGCGCACGCGCGCCCGAACGATTTCGACATGCGCGCTCAATTCCCCAGGAACCCACGAGAGCGCGACCGCATGCGCTGTTGTGGAACTGTCGCCATGTTCGTCGGTTCCTGGGAGGTCCAGCGGGGCGGAGTGGCACGCGGACCCAGTTGGGACCTCGCTGCCCCCTGCGTGGTTGCGAACTGCGCAACGCAACTGTAGTAGCATCGTTCGTGGGTTCCTGGGAGGTCGCGCAGAGTGGAATGGTAGGCGGACCCAGCTGGGACTTCGCGGCTCCCTGCGCAGATGCGACGCGCGCAATCGTCACCATTTTCGTTGATTCGTGGGAGGCCTAGCAGAGTGGAGTGGTACGCGGACTCAGTTGTGACCTCGCGGCTCCTTGCGTGTGTGCGAATTGCGCAATTGTCGCCACAGTCACTGGCTCCTGGGGGGTCCCTGTGAAGTGGAGTAGTACGCGGGCTCACTTGGAACCTCGCGGATCCCTGTGTGGCTGCGAATGGCGCGATTGTCGCCATGTTCGTGTGCCTTTGTGGGGTCCAGCGGGGTGGACTGGTACGCGAACCCAGTTGGGACCTCGCGGAGCCTCGCGTGGCTGCAAAGTACGCAATTCTCGTTAGGGTCGCGGGTTCTTGGGAGGTCCGACGGAGTGGAGTGGTACGCGGAACCAGTTGGGGCCTCGCGGTTCTTTGCGTGGCTGTGAATTGCGCAACAGTCGCCGCGTTCGTAGGTTTTTGGGACGTCCAGCTGAGTGGGCTGGTGCGTGGGCCCATTCATGGCGTCGTTGCCGCCTGCGTGGCTGTGGATTGCGCAGCTGTTGCCACTTTCGTGACTCCTGGGAGGTCCAGCGGAGTGGAGTGGCACGCGGACCCTGTTGGGACCTCGCGGCTCCCTGCGTGGCTGCGAATTACGCAAGTGTCGCCACGTTCGCGCGTTCCTGCGAGGCCCAGCGGGGTGGAGCGACACGCAGGCCCAGTTGGGACACCGCGGCCCCATAGGAGGCTGCGAAGTGCACAGCAATCGCCGCGTTCGGGTGCTCCTGGGAGGTCGCGCGGAGTGGAGTGGTACGCAGACCCAGTTGGGACTTCGCTCCTTGGCGGGGGGGGGCTGCGAAGAGCGCAGCCGTCGCCACTATCGCGTGCTCTTGGGGGGTCGCGCGGCGCGGGGTGGAGCGGCACGCAGACCCAGCTGTGGCGTCGCAGCCCCCTTGGGGGGCTGCGAAACGCGCAGTTGTAGTTGTTGTTCGCGTGCTCCTGGGATGGAGTGGAGAGGTACGCAGACACAGTTGGGACCTCGCGGCTCCCTGTGGAGCTGCGAGGTGCCCGAGTGTCGCCATGTTCGCGGGCCCTTGGGAGGTCGCGCGAAGTGGAGAGGTACGCAGACACAGTTGGGATTTCGCGGCTCGCCGGGGAGCTGCGAAATGCGCGAGTGTCGCCATGTTCGCGGGCTCCTGGGAGGTCGCGCGGAGTGGAGTGGCACGGTGATCCAGTTGGGACCTCGCGGCGCTGTCACGTCACGCAGCGCTCGGCGCTGTCGCGTCGCAGCTCGCAGGGAGCCGCTGCGCCACTCAACGCGTGGCGCTGTGTTTTGTCTGCGTGGCATCCCGCCCTCAGCTGCCTCATTCCCGCCATGCCTCCCCGCGCGCTTGCCTCGCTCGGCGCGACGCGCTGCTCTGCTACAGAGCGGGCGCATGGCGCTGTTCTTTCCCGCGTACGTAGCGCTCGGCGCTGGTGTCGTTACTCAACATGTCTGCGTGTCTATACTGATTTGTCCTGCGCCTTCTTGCGTATCTATGGTAGCTCATGCGCACTGCGGGTCCTTCCACATGTTTGCTCGCCGTGGGCGTGCCTGTGTACATTTTTGTGCCTATAAGCATATACATGTACACATACACAGTCATGTATCTATATATACATACATATACATATATACATACAGGCAGACATACATACATATATTCATACATACATACCTACATACCCATATATATATATATACAAATATACATACATACATACATGCATACATACATACATAAATACATGCATACATGCATACATACATACATGCATGCATGCATACATACGTACATACATACATACATACATACATACATACATGTATACATACATACGTGTACATACATACGTACACTCATTCATACATACATGCATTCATACATACCTACATACATGCATCCATGCATACATATATACATACATGCATACACACATACATGAATGCATGCATACATACATACATACATACATACAAACATACACATATACGCACGTACATACATGCATACATTCATACATATACATACATGCATACATGATTACTTCATGCATACATACATACATACATACATACATACATATGTAGATATATACATACGTATGTAGGCCACATGTTGGGAACAAGGGTTGGGTACATCACCCGGTAAGTTGCCAGGGGGTGTCCGAAAACTTATGATTTGTTGATAAACGGGTGCGTTCGCGTAGCAC